TGGAATTAGTCGAAGAGACCTTTGCAAAAAAAGGAATAAATATGGGAAAAAGAATTGTGGTGGACAAAGCTTATCTCTACGAAGAAGACAAACCACTCACCGTCTGCAAAACTTCTCTTTTCTACACCGGCGATGGTTTCGCCGCCTACGACTGTAACGGCGATATCATCTTCAGGGTCGATTCGTACGGACCAGACACTAGAGATAACGATGAGTTTGTCCTCATGAACGCTACCGGAAAGTGTCTCCTCACCGTTAAACGAAAGGTATAAACTTTTGTCTCTCTGGCTTTGCTTTTATTGTGACGACGAGTTATAGTCAACTCGTGAAGATGACTCGGTGATTAGAGATAAAGTTTGATGCTTTGCTTGTTGTGCTGGTTTTGATTAGATGGGTTTTGTTTGTTAATGGAATTTCATTGATGGGTATCATTTTTTGTCCTTGAATATAGAAAAAATATCTTACATTTGCAAAATTAAACAATTGAAAATGATTTGATAAAAAGGGTTTGGTTAAAAAAATTTGATTTTTGTTAGAAAAAGATCTGAAGAAATTGTTATGAGGTACAAAAAAAAAAATCTAATGAGTCAATCAACGAGTCATAGACTGTATAACCAATTTATTTGTTCCAAGCTAATGATACTGAGTTAACTCGTTTTTGTTTATTGATGAACAGAGACCGACTCTGCACCAGAGATGGGAAGGGTTTCTCGGAGAGAGATCGGAGGGTCAGAAACCGATCTTTAGCGTCCGGAGATCGTCGATAATCGGACGGTGCACGATGGAAGTAGAAGTGTACGACGGAGCAGGAGAAGAGTACATAATCGAAGGAGACTTCTCGCAACGAAGCTGTGTCATATACGACACAGAGAAGAGAACTGTGGCTGAGATTAAACGCAAAGTAGACGTGTCAACGAACGTGATGCTTGGTCGTGATGTGTTCACTCTCGACATTAAACCTGGTTTCGATGGTGCTTTCGCTATGGGTTTGGTTCTTGTACTTGACCAGATCAACGGTGATGATCCTGTTGAGATTGGTGATGAACAGGTGCACCCTTTCGTAGAGGATTAAG